GCATGCAGCATTTTGTTATTCAGCCTGGCTTTCTGGTCTATGCTGGCTTGATAATTATTGGGGCTGCTTTTACGGCTCTTTGGGTTGGTCCACGCTATGGAAAGTCGAGCATGTTTGTTTATATCGGTATTTGCAGCATGATTGGTGGGTTGAGTGTTGTGGCTACCCAGGGCTTGGGGTCTGCTATTCTTGCTCAGATTAATGGCGAGGAGCAGTTCAAGCATTGGTTCCTCTATGTCTTATTTGTGTTTGTTATTGGGACACTGCTTACTGAGATTATTTATCTCAATGTATGTCTTCACTCTTCTCGTGTCTCATGGCTGTGTACTAACCCAGCTATACAGAAAGCGCTGAATCTTTTCAATGCCGCTCTGGTCACTCCGACTTACTATGTGCTATTCACTAGCGCTACCATTATTACTTCCGCCATTTTGTTCCAGGGCTTCAAGGGCACGGGAATCCAGATTGCAACTGTGATCATTGGGTTCTTACAAATTTGTGCCGGTGTGGTATTGCTGCAGCTATCCAAGTCCGCTAAGGACGTTCCTGATGCTGCTATTTTCAAGGGTGATCTAGATCAGATTCGGGAGGTTGCCGAGGTAGAAGAGCCCGAATTTGAGCCCAAAGCGGACTCCATTCGCGGTGCGGCCTCTATCATTCGTCGCATTTCAACTGCTCGCCGCACTATGGAATCGGATGAAGCCCGCCGTTTCTTTCATGATAAGCATGAAGATACCCTGACAGTGCCAGGCGAGAATGAGATAATTGAATGGGATGGCCTACGCCGGCGCAAGACTGTTATTGGCGAGGGACCGACTATGTCACGACCAATCACTCCGCGAACACCCTCGGTCAAACAACAACATCCCCCGTGGGGCATGTCCCGATTGCCCGCTGCGGAGCATGAGGACGACCACCGACCTAACACCAAGCAAAGCGGTCATTCTTTTATGGATAACATTCGATCTCGGGCAACTAGCGTGCTTCATCATTCCCAATGGAAGCCTGTAAATACAGAAGACGAGAAAGGTTCTAACGCCAACACACAATCGATGGGAATGACAGACATGGCACACCAAAGTGGCAATGTTGACACCGAATACCATGGTGCCGGTATGGCTGGAGGTGTGGAGGCTGTATTCAACGCAAACCGTCCACGTAGCGATACGCCGCGGTCTATATCATGGGCAGACGAAAAGCCCGAATCACTAGCACCGGAACCTCTTGCCACCACTACCCGCCGCCAATTCTCTTTCAACAACATGATGGGCCGTATGAAGACCGACAGCGAATCTTCCGTCAAACCCACACCAGGTTCGCCCCCCCGTGGCATCCTACGCCGAACGCACCTGGCACCCGATCTGCGCAAGGACGCAACCGAGGAAGAATCACTCGGTCTCGTCCACGGCGACTCACGCCGTTCTCAACCAGAGGAAGAGCCCCTGAACGAAAAGCTAGACCGCTGGTCGAGCGCCGAGTCAGAACTTGACGAACCCCAGCCCATGTTCGCAGGTCGGTCACACGGCAACTCCGTGTCTAGCAACATGTCCACCGCCGCATTCCCTGCCTATGAGGATAATCACCACCACTACTCCGAGTCCAACAACCCCTACTATCTCCCGCACAACCGACAAACTACCTCATCCCCAGAACCCCTCTCCCATGAAGAAGAGGGATGGAAACACCATTCATCGAGGGGGAGCAGTAGTAGAACTCGCACACGGACAACCTCTTCTGTTCATGCGCATTCTCACGCCCCACCTCCCGCCCAATCCTCCTTCTCTACCCACCGCCATCCAAACCCCTTGCCGCCACTCCCTGATATCACACCCACCACCACCCTCGATCTCATGCCCATCGCAACTAATTCGTCGGCATTGAGATCAGTCTCTTCGGAATCAGATATGGTAACAACCCTCTCTAGCGAAACGGGAGACCTCAATGATCACCCCCTTGGCTACCTCGCGCGCCAACAGAGCGGCTGGCGTCGGCATATGTCTGAAAACAGCAGCCATGATGGCGAGACGTATGCCACGCGCGGAGGTAGAGGAAGTTCGTTCAGGTGAATGAGAAACTTGCAATCTTTCTGGCTTATATAGCCATCCTGGATTCCAGTTTATGGCGCACATATCCTGTTTTCTTTCCCTATAGTATTTTGCATGGCTATGGCGTTTATTGAGAGATTTTGTTGATATTTCTTTTCTTTTCTGTTTTCTAACTGATTTTTGTCCTGTGGTCGAACCTGGTTTTTTCAAACCGGTCTGTACATGTACGGTGATTGTGATTGTGATCTTGTATATAATGGATGTTATGATAATGGTGCATGATATTAATGAAATGAGAACCTCAAGTGTCAAGCCGAGAGTAGAGTACTGCATAAGTCGTATCAGCAACGGTGGCACATTAGTCAATTGAACGAGAGAAATTTCAAAGCAGATGTTTCATATTCATGACGATCAGATCAGATTCGATGTGATCATAGATCATTGGGTATCGTAGGTGCACGTGGTTGGAATGCTCATAATCCCAAGCCGGAAATTGACGGAAAATCATGGCTCTATCCAAAACGCCATATGCTATGCAATGTAAACCAAAAAAGAAGAAATTCGCTAAATGCCAACCGTAACCATGTAAAAGAAGATCACTTCTTCGCCTCCTGCGCACCAAACATCCCAGCAACACTCCGCTGCCCCTTGGCCGCAACATGCATACTAGGGAACCGGGACTCGGCAAGACGACGCCCAGCTTTGATACTCTCGAGAGCCCTAGTGATAAAAGTTCAACATCAGAAAGGGTCACTCGCGGGTCATCAACAGCATCAGGATAGTACATACCAGTCCACACTAACAACCTTCACGCCTTTCCACCCCCCACGAGCAATTTCCTGCTGGAGCTTGCCTGCCGCAAGGCCTCCCCCTGCACCAGATACATCCATTCCACTCCCAGCCCCGGTATTGGGCTGTCCGACGAGAACATGTGTCACCGTTTTCCGGGCCATGTAAATAGAAGTCTTAGCCCCGTTCAACGCTAGTAAATGTTTGAGTTTGTACTCCGAAATTCGAGGAAGTGTGGAGCCATTGATGAATACTGTAACACCGGCGAAGATACGCGAAGTCGATTTTAGGTCAAGACTGGCGCTAGAGTGGGACTCGGGTTGGGGGTTGCCATCTATTTGAGATTCTCTCTTTTCCATTTCCTTTGCATCTCGAGCTGGAGTCAACCCCCGGTCCCCTCCAACAACAGTCTTAAGCCTCTTCGTCTCCACATCGGTATGCTGCTCGAGCTCATCCACAGCCTTCCTCTTGCTAACACCCATAAACGACCGGATGTCCCGAACACCGAGTTCATTCCGCTTTGCCACATCCCCAGCTACCATAGCCCACTCACCGGAAGCAGGGACTTTGGGCGGCGAGTGTGGCGCGCATTGCCCATCGAACACCCCGGGTACAAGCGTTGACTCTCGTGTTTCTGTATTCCGAAGGCCCGATCCCGATCCCCTTCCCCGTCCTGGAAGACAATCCCCACTATTATACTGCCTGGTCAATTTCGCCGAGCGCGCATCTCGCCATGATGTTGAACCGAGGAAACCGCCGCCATCGGCTGCATGCTGGTGACCCGTTGAGGCTGACTGCCAGGAGTCGAAATAGAGGTGGTTTTGGGGTCCTGGGGGTTGTGGTTTTGCGGGTCGTTCTGATCGGTCGCTGGTCATAGTTGGATCTTGCAATTTTGCGGGTTTGTAGCGAGGGTCTCTATTCGATATTTGAGGGTGACGTTTGCCGGGATGAGGTGTTCTGGGATGTCGTTATGCTTGAGTTGAAATTTGGCGAGAAGTCGCCGTGGCGTCAAACGGAAAGAACCATGGTTCGCATGTTTTGATTTTGCTGTTTTGGGATAGATAGGGTAGATCTAGTCACGTGGTGTGAAGTATGCGAGTACAATGAGCCATATACAATTTATAGACTCTATCTGACGGTTTCCTTGGAGATACACACTGGCACTAAGCTGAAGCTTGAGAACAAGTCTCAAGGATGAAGTAAGATAACCGAAGCTGCCATGAAGAAAGCCCAAGCATCTAATAGCTACGAATGCCCCCGATGATCTATAGCGTCAAGTCGTAACGGTCAAGTTCAACAGCTCAATAAGCGAAGCAAGGCCCAGTAGACTACAATTACAATTACATCTACAAGCTGTAAGGCAAGAGAAGTCGGAAAAAAACAATCCATTTAGACCGGACAAAACCAACGTTGTATGTCGCTAAAGGCATGCAGACCCAGAGTTCATAACCGTTCATTACCATGATAATCATCTCTCTAGTAGAGTGGCAGTGGCAGAAGCAGAAGCAACAGCAGCGCAGAGAGTAGAGAGGGGAGTAAAACCAATGCCAATGCCATGCCACAAAGAATACCCTTTTCAAACCCCAGAACACGCATCAATGATAAAAAGAAAAGAAAACAAGAGAAAAACAACTCGTTAATGAAGATGGCTCGTCGTGGTCAAGTCATCACACAAAGAAAATTCGTTCATAAGAGATTCGTCACATCGTAGTCATCGAGGTTTGCGATCACTATCCAAGTCTTCAACAAGTGACAAGTCTTTCAACCACGGAAGTATCAAGAAATGCTTCGCTAATGTTGGACCGTGAACAGATCTTGCGCCTAATTCTTCCCCTCTTCCCCACACAAGTTAGATATTCTCAAAACAAAAAGCCAAGGTTTCTTCAACCTAAAAAATAACGCAAAGAGACAAATGAGCTTCGTTTCGTTTCGACACCGCCGGGTCTGCCGATATCCACGTATTCGTGGTGAGACACAGACAAGACCGCGGCGCGCCATGCGGGTTGTGCATGCGTAGTCTATCGTGAAAAACAAACTCCGACCGAGAAATTAACCATCAGTAAAAAAAAAGAATAATCCAGCAAGAGCCAAACAAAACCCGAAGAGAACCGGAACAAAAAACCACAAGCTCAAAGCCAGCTAGAAGCCACAATTGATTGCACGCCCTCAGCGGTGACGAGCCATGACCCCACTAGGCTTCATCGGCTGAAGAATAGGCGGGCCACCGACCGGACCTCCGAGGGTAGAATCGGTGATCGTCTTGCGGCGCTTTGAGGTCTCATACTCAGCAGTACTCTCGGGGCGGATATCGTCGTCCTCGCGCATGCGCTTGCTGCCCGCACTCAGCGAGCCATTTCCAGATGCGTAGACCGGGGCCGTGGTCGAGGCCATGGAGTAAGGGTCCGAAGCACCGGTGGCTGGGGTACCGCGAGTATCGCTGACAGCGTTGTACAGGGTAGTGGCGGCGGGACGAGGAGGGGTGTTGTAGCCCGAAGCCCAGTGAGGAGGGGGGCCGGCTCCCGTGCGCGGAGTCATGCGGCCGGAGCCGTTCTGCTGGCTCGGGGAGCTGGTCATCTCCGGGGTGAGCTGGGAGTGCTCGCCGGTCAGGGAGCCGACGGAGGGGTTTGTGGTGTAGGTGTAGGAGCCGCGGTTGGAGTTGTAGCCGGCGTTGGGATCTTGCATGTACTCCTGGTCATGCTCGGCGACAGTCTCACCGGGTCCATTGCTCTGGCTGTAGCGGTTTGAGTCGCGCTCAGAGGTTTCAGGCTCTGAGGCGCCAGGCCGTGGGTTTGGTGGCGCCATCTCGCTTTTCATGTACCCGCCGGGCAGGGGTTGGCCGTAGTTGGACATCCCTGATTGGGTCAATGGGGTGTGCGGCGCGTATTGGGCGTGAGTTTGTGGTGCCGCAGAGTAGTAGGGCTTGGAGCTGTCGTAGCCTTGGCTTTGGTAAGCTGGCAAGCCTTGCATGTTGTTGCCCGGTGGGGTGGTTGCGGGGGTGGTTGGCATTGAGCGCTGATTGCTCAGCGTGGTGTCGATGGACAGGGGCTGTGTATGTGGCACTTGTCCGCCCCATTCATATGAACCTTGATGGTTGACGCCCATCAGGCTGGATGCGCTAGCTGGCGGTGTGGGGAATGTGTTGGCACGCTCGAGATTTGGTCTGGAGCCGGGCTGGCCGTTTATTGGACCTTGGGACATGTGAGAAGACATGGGGGTCTGCAGGGAGGGGTGGTGATGGTGAATCGGGGTTTGCTGAGATCCAGATGGCGTACGCTGGGGACCCGGAGGTGGGCCTTCCAAACGTCGCTGCTGGGACTCCTGCACCACCATATTTGTCCGAGTCTGGTTAGCCGGGTGGTATAGAAGACCACCAATATTATGCACGAAGAGTGGGTATAGGAGATCAGTGATCTTCTCCTTGTTGGCAAATTCTAGAGCACGCTCAAATGGGATCCTGAAGAATAAAAGTTAGCCGATGTTGCGCATGCTCTCCGGGGTCAAAATACATACCAGACACCTTTCAAATGCATCGGTCCGATTTTCACAACATGACGGAGCTTCTCGCTTTTGAGGATTCCATCACGTCGACCGCGGGTCATGCCAGCTACATTTAGCAGCTTTGTGCCATTGACCATGTGGTTATCTGCGGGAGAAACGTTAGCAAAAAATATCTTTGATTGACCTTCCAACGGAATCAAATTACCCTCTCGTCGAGCCACGCACACTCCCTTTGCTTCAACCTGGTAGCAGAGACTTCCCTCATCTTCCCATAATGTTGCTGTCACTCGCGGCTTCGCTCCCGGAGGAGCAACTTGCCCAGTACCATCAAAGACAAACCCTTGTAGCGGAGCACCAGTAGTGTTTGCATAGCCACTCGGAGGTGCCACGGGGTGATTGCTCACTTGATAACGATCAGAATAATCTTCCATCCCACTCTGGCTTTGGAGCTTACCAGGTAAGGGCAGCAATTGGGTCTGCATCTGGCCACCCATCGAGGCTGGCGGGTGTCCCGCGGGTGAAGAAACGCCCGGGGCGTACCCATATTGGGGGTAAGCAGCCGGGGCGTAAGAAGACGCGGGCTGCATCACCGGGGGTTGCCCGTGGTACTGATAGTGGGACATGGCCCCTGCGGTTGCGCCTTGAGGGGCGTAGGGCTGAGCAGAGGACATGTGCGAGTGGACATCCATGTACGGCTGGGTCTGGTTCATGCTGCCGAGGGAAGCTGGACTGGGATAGTACCCTTCGTTGACCGAATGTGGGAGACTGTATTCGGTTGCGGATGAATCTAATGAAAGCCGGCCCTGGTTCCCAGACAGGTCCGCAGAGGACGGGCTCCTGGGTTCGTTGGTAGGCACAGAGGCACCAGACAGACTCGTGCGAGCGCTAGAGGTGGTGGAATTGGTCGCGGACGAATCGTGATAGGCGGTCCGAGAGAGGCCCTGGGTGGCTGTTGGCAGGCTGAGAGCGGGGAGTTTGTCGCCGGGCAATAACGGTCGTTCCGCCGCGTGATGGTTGTACCAGGGGATGTCAGCAGGACCGCGGGTATGGACCTGCGAGATCGATGGCAGCTCCAGCTTTTCGGTTGCACGGATAAACGGTTTAGAAAAATGGAGGGATGAAGCGAGCAGCGGACGTCGTAAATGTCGTCCGGCGTGCTATCAATATAGGCCGCAGAATCGTTGGAAGACCACAGGAGCTTGCGAACGTTGCACGAAGGGGAAATAAAAATAAAAATGATAAAAGAGAACGAGTTGCAAACGCAATATTCAACGGGCTTTCAGGATCAAACGTCCCAAAAAATAAAGAATTTTTATAGCAAATGATGCAAGATGCAGGCAATGCACGTCCAATATTCGTAGTGAAGCTTCGTAGTAAGTCGTAAACCTTTTGTAAAGACTCGGGAAGCCTAGACAGAAGCGCAATAAGGACTTTTTCTTGAAAAGCAGAATTCAGCGAGAAGCACAATGGTCATCAGAATCATTAACAATCATCAATCGAACACATCAAAGTTCGGGCGGAAGCTTCAGTGGAACTAGACAGAAAAGCGTAAGTTTGGAGGTCGTTTCAAGGTCATGCAGGGAATCATGTCATAGAAGAAAAAACTCTCAAATTGGAGCGCATTGGATGATAAAATAAGGCCGAAGCCAGATAAAGGTAGGGGGAGAGAGAGTTCAAAGTCTTAGACAGTCGAGGGATGGGGGGGTTGAGAAGAGAAGAAGTGCGTTCGACGTACAGAAAGGTGGAGGCTGGGGTGGTGCAGCAAACGCATCCCTATGCAGGCTGGATAGATGGCGTTTGAAAAAGAAAAAAAAAAAAGGAAAGAGAAACAAAACAGGCCAAACAGATATATAGCAAGTAAAAATAGAAATCAAGGGCAAAAGGGCGGGCAATGGGGAAAATGCAAGCAGGAAATCGTACAGTGAAACTTAGCCCAGCGGTTAAGAGAGGGGAAAAGAGGTGAAGCAAAATGACGCTGAGCCGCAGCGGGAAAGTCGATCAGTGGAGGATAAGAAGAAGCTGACTAAGGCAGGCCCAAGAGAAGAAAGAGAAGAATGTTGTCTGCAGAAATCCCGGCTTGCCCCGTCTTTTGAGGGAGAGACGAAGAAGAGAAAAACGGAAAGCGAGGAGAGAGAGAGAGGCCATCGAATCAATCACAGTGGACCCGGTGGAGAGAGAGAGAGAGAGGACTACCAGAACCGTGCGTTTAGATCATCCTCTAGACTCGATATCTGCTGTTTTTCTTTTTCTTTTCTTTCTTTTCGCTTTTCTCTTTTTCTCTTTTTTTCGTGATTATCCGATTTTCTTTTTTGGAATTATTCCATTATTTTCGACGCCACCAAGTAAGGACCGTGATCAGCAAGCGTTAAGCGGCGAGGTCAATCATTCCCATTCTGAACGGACCAGTATTAACGAGCATTTCCCGATTCGGACCATACCTAGACTGCAGGGACAAGTCCAAGAGAAATCCTCCCAGAGGATCCTGGTCTGTGTGACAGGCAGATAAATCAACACGATCGGCCGGGATAGGCCCGCTGGATCTGGGAGTTGATTCCCTTAGTGGAGTCACCGATCAGATTCAATTAATTTATTGCTTTTCTTGAGAGGGTTACTCTAGACTCTACTATTGCTGGGGACTGCAGGATAGAACAATAGACGGACGAGATAAACCATACCCTCTATACACAACCAAAAAAAGCCCTAAATGGTTCCTCTCATCCAATAAATAACACCTCAGAAATAGCACCTTGAGACGGTTCGTCTCCACGCGCGCGGGTCCCACTCAGTGAACCATGGGCGGTCGACCGGGGAGTAGGAACGGGGGGAATACATCCCACGGTTTAGTCTGGAGGTTAATGGCTGAAACCACGGTTGAGATACCACCGTCCACTTCATCCTACTACATCTGGTAGTCGCACATCGGTACTATATCGTGCATACCGATGATACAAATTGAAGTCTCGTCCCGACTGCTCTTTCATCGTGCAAGACATCTGTCGGCCGCTGCAGAGAGGGGAAGGTAAAAAAAGAAAGACCCGGTAATGCGCGGCGGCTGCACCGTCGATTGCGGATTGCACTCTCCCGCTTCTGGAGCCAGCGCTTGCACCATTTCCCCTCTATTTGGGGTACAGATAATACAGGCTAATACCTGCAAGGTCCATCTTAAAGAAACGGTTAAATTCAGTCCCACAAAACCCTTCACCGGAAATCGCCCGGGCCTCCCCCCCTCGGATATGTCACGGTTAGAGGTGGTCGATCGCCCCGGGTCAAGTCCGGTCAAAGGCCATGTGTGGTTGTAGCTGATTTGGCCCACTACAATACTATTACAATTCCTAAGCCAAGCACAATATAATACCAAGGCCTTGGTTGTGTTCTTCTTTTTATGGTTCGGGACGATCTAGGCGTTAAGACGGGCCGTGAGTAACAGTGGAGAGACAAAGAGGAAAGAAGCACGTCACACCCCCAGGGATGCAGAGGGGAGAATCAGTGGCTCAGAAGGAACCACGAAACACGGGTGGCTTGAAGTCAATCAAGGGTCTGTTCTCTCTTCCCAATCCCTGCCAAGTACCACGAAGACCAGTCAGAGGCTAGGCGTTTACCGAAACTGCAGGCGATCCCCGGTTGAAGAGAAATGGGAATTGGGAAATTAGAAATAGAAGGTCAAAGGCAAATAGGAAATAGATAATAGATAATAGAACAAAAAAAGAATCGGATTGAGTCCAGAATCTGTCCAACCACCCAATTTCAGCCCGAATTGAAATAGGACGTTCACACGTAGCATCACAATGTCAACTGAGAGACCTCGTGATGATGTATCCAACTCTTTCTTTCTCTCTTCCAAGGTTATCGGGAGATCGTATTGAGTCTGGAATGATTCATAAGCCTATCTATGTACACATGAATAATTATGTTCCTAATAGTATAGCCGGATAATAGTTCTAAGTAAAATAATAGCAAATAACATATTTGTTTTGATCGAATTTATTTTTCCTTACATTTTTCCAACAAAAACCGAAAAGCCTAGAGCCAGATCCCAGTAAGGGGGGAAGACCAGAGAGACGCTGAACATCAAGCCAACTCGACCCCAGTTCACCGCTAATTTCGTCCAGAGAGGCCAAAGTCCCCTTGCGTTTTGGCCTTTTTATTTTCATTTATTACTTGGACGGTACTTATTCTCCACTAATAGAAACTAATAGACTAAACTATTCACGGACTTGATTTCTAACCTGATAGTCTCGGCTCTGGGTTGACAGATGTCAATTCCCACGCTTTCCCAAAAAAAAATAAGAAAAAATAAAATAAAAGTGACAGCTAGGGATTCGCCCGGTTGCTATTTTTTCAGTCCTACCCTAATATGCATTGACCACTATACATGGACCTAGATTCAATGGTTAATTTCTGAGATTTCGGGGAGATCATGATCGGAATATGATTTCCAAATATCAAATTATTTTGTACTTTGCATTCTCTAGCGGGTTCTGCAAGTGGCGCCGATGATGTCCCGCCACACAGACCCTTGAGAGGTCGGTGAACATGGGGCCGGGAAAATACGGGCCTAACTCTAGACCAGTTTACGGAGTAGATATTCTTGCTTGGATATATTTCAAGGCATAACCTTCAAACGGGTAGGAATACCGATTTTCTTGCAGACGTTATGACATACACGGAAGCAGGTACTAACCAGCCTAGCACACTAGGCCCAGAGAGCTCCGGGAAATTTACAGAGAAAGAGAGAGGGGCCAATACTGACAGATCCCTGCACTGCAGCTCGCTATCGACGGCCCGATACCCGCTGCACATACAGCATACAGTAGTTTAGGGGGGCAGCATGGGGGAGGGATCCGCCTGAATCGACACATATCTTTACTGGAAAAGGAAATAGCCTTCCGTGCCGGAGGATTTGAGGGCTGAATGATCAATGGTATTGAAAGGAGGCTAGAGTGGACCACTTATTCATGACTTTGCTTCTTTTCTTAGCCCTTCTGTTATTATTCTGTCAGTCTCTCCCCGACAGGAATGGAAAAAATGGAGAGACGAATTAATCAAAATCAGCTCAAATGAGATCCACTATTGGAACGGCAACTCCGCAATTCGGCTGTGATGCATCGTATGGGACCGTTGAGCCGAAAATGTAAGGAGATGATCAGTTCTTATGATAGGTACACTTAGTAGTATTTGAGATATAATGTCAATCCTTTACGGAGTACCCTATAGAGTAGACAGCAAATACTCGCATATAAAATATAATCCATGTGTCCATTCTTTTCCACTGATCGTCCCTCCGGGGGTTTCCGACTATCAACACTGGTGGATCATCTCTAGGGTTAGAGGTCACATACGGAAACTAGAGAATCCTTCCAACATTATTAGCATTTATCCATAAACTCTCCCATAGCTAGATCCTCCACTTCACTGTTTACGCCGTCAATCTCGCGTCGATCGACGGGTTCGTCCGTACCTTGCAGCGAGTTACCCTGCAGACTCTTGTCCGTGCAGATTTCAGGCTTTTTTCGTGAAAACGGACCAAAGACTTTGTAGAATTTAAATATTCTTTTTTTCTTTAATGTGCACTATTGTCATGTTTATATACGGGGCTTTTTTATTCCTCTTCTGCCCTTCCGGTCTATGATATTTCAGGGGCTGCCATGTTTTCCCATGCTATACTCCGTACCTCACACATCAAAAGAGGCAGAATATGCCCGGAGCCGTCTGGGCAGACGTTAATGCCCGATAAGGCCATCAGACTGATGATCGGGGACACACACAATGGGTACAAGGCCTTTGAGAGGCATGTGTGGTACAGCATAATTACGGAGTACGATTGTATAGCGGGAGACTCGGACACGAGGAAGATTTGACCGAGAGCCGATGACTTACAGGGATGTTCCCTGCAGACTATTGATGTGTTGTACAGGATGGGGCAAATTAAAAGGCGAATCGACCGAGATAGCCTCCGTATACTCCGTAGCCCCGTCTGCTATAGGTCCACGGTAACCAGAGGTACTTGCCCAAGTAGGTATAGGCGTGGACATGATAGTGAGGTACATATACAACCCTGAAACAATATTTGAATTGTGACTCTGCTTTTCATGTGACTGGAGTAATTTCCTGAAGCCAGAACGCCACCAACTTCCCTCGCGCGAATAACAATGCACCACGAAGCCAGGATCTGGCGTGATGGAACTAGGCTGGGGCCGTGCAACCTTGGATTTAACCTCGCATTGCATTGTCCCGTGGAGCCAAGAGATCGACTGCACGTTCATCTTGCCTTTGCACTCTAGCGCTTCTTGTGTCGCAAAAGAGGGGGGAGGAGAGATAGGCCTAACAATAATCGACTAGAAAATCGCCGTGGATTAGGGATTTTGTACGTTGTACCATTTAGGGATCATAACCCCTGAGTGGAATCGTCTAATCCAGAAGAAAATCCAAAGTTCTTGAATAAGTCAACCGCCGTAACCGTTGACAAGCGCCGGTATTTTCGAGTCATTTATTCGCTTTTTTTCTCCCGTGACCATGGTGGTAGTCCAGAACAATATAACCTGGAATCCCTCATATCTCCGAAATAGCCAGGATGGCTCGGGCCAAATGTGTAACGAGACTAAAACCCCATCCAAGCCAGCGGCGCCAATGATTGGCTTCACGTACCAGCAGCCCGCCGATCGATGACCCGACCCAACAATGACTGGCTACGGCAATAACCACGTAGGCAGGGCTAGATCGTGTGGATTCACCGCCAGTTGCCCCCCTTGCGTGCAGACGTGGCACAGAGCATTATCTCATAGTCCGTACGGAGTAGCTCCATCTGGTATGCAGTGACCCGCTGCTGTGGAGGCCTAATGTTGGATGTATGTCGACCGTTGTCTGCTTTTTGTATGGCTTATTATCCCCTATAGAGTACGAAGTACGCCGTGTAGGTGAGACAAATATCAAAGATTCAAGATGTGAACTTTTTCCAAACGGGAAATATCCTCAACCTCGCCGATATCGGGCTATTTTTGGCCGATCGGCGCAACGTCAGAGGGCAGATAAGGAAACATAAAACATGAAGTGAACTTCGATGTACGACATAGTCAAAATATGCCACTCTTGTGAGATATGAACTTGTTTACTATGTTGTACAAAATGTACAACAACACTTAGATTCACCTGTTCAGAAAGGGAGTCTTACCAGCTTCTGCACTACCCCAACATTTCAGCCCTTTGTACATGTCAAAGGAGACATAAGCATAATCATAGATCGTGAACCATTCTACACAGTCCATGTGATACTAGCACTGTATTCAAAATAAGCAATTCTTCCCTAGGTTGCTGTGTCATCCCTGATAATGACAATGATAATGCAATAATTACGCTAAGCCTAGAACAGGGAGACCCCGGACTAGAACACCAGGCCTAATCCCAATAGACAGAAGGCAAGAGCCAGAGCAAAAATCCAAATAAGCCCAAAAGAGGAATGAGAAGACCGCTCACCGTCTCTTTGCTGTCTCAGCTCACATTTTATAGTATGTACTGTGCATCTGACACCAAAACACGCGCCGTCCACGCTTCTATCTCCCCGGGCAGGCGTCGCTAGTCGATCGAAGAATGCAAATACCATGCAGCGTGCAGCCCAAGCTGTAAGTATCATGTACGATGAAGCAGAGCCAGAGTGACAAGCTAGCTGCCAAGTGCCAGCGCAGGCGGCTAAAAGCAAGTGCAAGTGTAAGCCACCCACGGACTGGGTTGCTGTGCATGAAATGATGTACATAGTCACTAGAGCCTAGCCTGACTACTATGAATGGGTGGGTGTGAATCATGTCCAGATCGGAGGCTGGCGCGCGTGGGGGTTTCCACATTCTCGAAGCATATCTGCCATTGATATTGTTCATAGAGCACATATGAGGGTGGTGTGGGTGGATGTTGCATATCGTGTCTTGGGTGTGTCTGAGATTTGTTGAATTTGTTTCGTATTTTGCTTTTTTTTTTTTTTTTTTGGAAGAAAGGGAAATTTGCTCTGGTTGGTACGGGTTGAGGAATATCTGGGGGGTGGGGATGAATTGGGCATGGGGTTGGCAGTTCGCTTGCAGGAAACTTCTAAGGTTCTTACCTGGGTGTTCAGACCTTACGACTTCGTAGAGGTACGTATTCACCGCTGGTTGAGGACCTGCATCGACTGCAAGTCTCTCGTGTCTGTCAAGGGATAGTTCGTGTTTGTGGGAGCTGGTATTGGCGGTGGGAGGTTGGTATATCCCTTGATTGGGAATTGGATTGTTGCTGCTTGTATTCGTAGACCGATTGTTTCCCGTGGGAAAAATGTGGGAATAAGTTTGAAAGATTTGGTCTCGACCTTTTGCTGGGAGGGTTGGTAGAAGCCTTGTTTTATGCTTATGCAGTATCGATCTCGATCTGATAGGGGTTGTTGCGGTGATAATGCAATCGCTTACGCACAGCGGATCAATGCTGATAGTGTCGGTGCGTCGATTCGAGGGGACGGGCATTTCTGCAGTGTTCTGTGCTATGTACTCCGTAGACCTGAACGCGCTTCTAGAAGGCGTGGTTGGTGCAGTATGCTGTCTTCCGTTGTTCATGTAGGGATGCTACGGTTCCTGCTGATAGATCGCCGGGATCATATCTGTATTGCCTCAATACGATATATAAGTCAAGCTGTGCGCGGTTGAGCCTTAAGCTTCTATCAAAAGGAATTTATCAGATATCGGTATTGGGTCCCGTAGCTCTTTCTTTTTTTTTCTTGCTCTAGAAGACATAGAAGATCTTCAACAGAACCCATGGAAGGCATCATAAAAGACAATATAGAAGATGACTTGAACGTGTCAACAACAATGGACACTACGGAGTAGACGTGGCCTATATTTGCTCGGAAGACGCCATTCATTAGCCGATGGCAATCCGTAATTTTATTCGATATGAAATGTAGAAGAAAAGCCGAATCATACATTATACCTTATAGCGTCGGGTCAGTGGATGTTTGGACATGATTCGAGGGATATGTCTTGAGATGTGTGTGTCCCCCAATATATATCCCGCTCCTCAAGGTAGAACTACGAGTGGCATACATTAAAATGGAAAAATCTCCAACAAAAGACATATACATTCACTACAGAAAAAGGAGCATTATTTGAACGAAAAAAGAGTGTTTGTCCATTGAAGTAACTCTAAAGCTAACAATATCCCGACAAAGTTCTATACCCGACCCAACCATATTCATCATGTTTTTTTACATGCATATCTCATGAAACGCGGAGAGCATAATCACACATCAGGGCTGGTAAATTCATCGCTTACCAGCCTGAGAAAAAATCTGTTGCCAAATGTCGATCCATTGCTGATGCTTATATGACAACGGACGGTGGGGGTTGCGGAAAGTGATCGAAAGGATCTCGCGCAGGCGGCTGTTCAGGATCTTCAAAGCTAGCATAGACTTCCAATCTCGCACAGCGAATCGGATACGGTTTGCGTCAATGGAGACGACACCAGAATACATCTATTTGGCGGTGGTTAGCTTATTGCCTAAGAAATGGGGCAAGGAAACGCGAAGAAGGATTACTGTCGTCGTACCTTGAACTCGGCATCACCACACAGTAAAGCTATAGCAAAATCGTCCACTGCACTGGTATCGTGCGCGTTGAGGTTGCGAGCACGTGCCATGATGCTATAGTATGACAGCCATTTGACAGACGAATCCGCCCTCTTGTTGACAGAAACAGCGGGTAGTGTGACTGTCTGGTTGTTGCCAACGTTGCGCCAGCCCTTGCCTTCGCGCGTCAGAAGCTTAGGGTAGAAACTCCAGGCGATGACCGAATTGATCACAGTATCATTGTTGCTGTTGATGTCGAAATCTTCAGGGATGATGAAGAATTGGCGATTTCGGCTGTTGGAACGTGCACTTTGGGTAGGGTTGGTTAGCAATTGTTAGGTTGAAATGTGACGTTTGGACAAAAAATCTCTTACCGGTTGAGGGCCGCTTTCTGTGATGCATCTAGGGTCAGAAGACCTGCATCGGCAATTGACACTACCAATTGCATCTTGATATCCTCTATGGCCAGTAATGTCTGCGCGCTGAGGAAGTTCTTTCGGCAGAAAGAATATTCGTTGGACCCCGGTGTGCTTCTTGTGCGCCTCCAACTACAATAGGCGTTGTATACGGTCAAGAGATCCGAGTCACCTAGTATTTGTTAGTTCTCAACTGCGGGAGAGCGATATATTGGGACAGACCTCTTCGGAAAGATGCCCGAGCACCATCACGTTGTGAGTTAGATCCGATTGTGTTGACGAATGGCGACTTGGAAGAGAGGATAGCAGCAATGCTGACAGTCGCATCCAAGCACCGGAAAAAGGCTCCATGAATGATCATTTTGCCGAGGAAGACATCCAGCGGCAACTTGGCGAGTTGTGTTCCGAGAGAGGTTAAACTCTCGTTGCTCGTCAGGGCCTTAACTTCCTTCAGTGAATCAATGGCGCGGCGAATGTTTTTAGACGACGGTGGGTCAAGAGCTTCGAGGAGTGTCTGTTCCACTTCTCCCAGTTTGCAGATCTTCACACGAAGCACTAAATCCTGCAAAGAAAGGCGCAGCAATTCAGGGGTTTGCTGTTCAGAAAGCAACTTTTCGTGGCGGTGTTTAGTAAACAGGTGGAAGCAGATACCGTTCTGGACACGTCCAGCACGGCCGCGACGCTGCTTAGCGTTCGCACGCGAGATGAATGACTCAACAAGGCGGGACAATTGACGTCTCTCATCGAAGCGCATGATCTTCTCCTTTCCTGCGTCGACCACAGCCGTGATATCCGGGATGGTGATACCTGTTTCCGCAATGTTCGTCGCAATAACAATTTTTCTTGTGCCTTCCGGGGGTACGTTGAAGGCCTTTTCTTGGTCTTCACTGGCAATCGAAGAGTGAAGTGTATGGACAATCCAACCCCTCTGGAACATGGGCTCGGACAGGATCTCATCGTTCAGGCGACGGATTTCTGCCAGTCCGGGCATGAAGATCAAGATCGCCTTGCTGTAGTGAGTCATCTCTGGGGCCGTAGCAATCTTCAGAAGCAACCTCTTGATTAGGTCATAGTCTAGTCTGTATTCGTCGATGTTGATAACAGTCTCCTTGGTTTGTCTAGAGTACCCATCAAGACTGGCTTGGAGACCTCCTGTGGTGTCGGCATCTGTGGGTGGGTCATCCATATCATCGTCGAGGACTGTGTGCTGGGCATCCTCCGACAAACGGTAGTTAGTCATCTCGACCGCATCCTCCAGGTACTTCATCTCCACGGGGAATGTTCGCCCTGGAATGTTCAGAACTGGCACCCCACCGAGATAGTTCGAAAAACGTTGCGCGTCAAGGGTGGCTGACATGAGGATGAGTTTTAGGTCAGGCCGCTTCTGCATGAGTCGTCGGAGCACGATCAGAAGGAAGTCACTGTCGATAGTGCGCTCGTGAACTTCGTCAAGAACCACATGAGTGATGTCTTGGAAGTCATCGGGCCGTTCGAGCATTCGTACAACCACGCCCGTGGTTCTATAAACTATTAGTTGAGGCACCACAAATGAAAAAAACGGGAGAAAAGTGAGAACTTACGCATAAATCAATGGCGTGGATTGAGTAAACTTGCTTTCCAACCGCACCGCAAATCCAATGAGAGATCTATTCGTGCCCACGTCGTTCTTGCTCTCTCCAAGCTCCTCGCTGACACGTCGAGCAAGCGAGATTGCAGAGATACGGCGGGGCTCAGTCACATAGATCTTGCATGGTCGGCCTTGGATCATCTCATGCTCGAGAATGAATGACGGAATCTGTGTACTCTTTCCACTACCTGTTTCACTGCAAATGATCATAGCTCGGTGATCATCGAGCGTACTCAGGATCTCATCTTTAAAACCCCAGATTGGGAGGTTCATTCTACCTTGGATCATGCAGTGATAGGACGGTGTTGACGATTTAGCAATCCATGCTTCTTTCAAGCGGTCATCGATACCCGCGTAATTGTCACGCGTAGGTCCCTTCATCGGGGTGCCCGGCTTGCTACCAACACCGTTTCTCTTCCGGAAGTTGTCAGATAGAACGACATCATCTTCAAAGGTGCCTTGGTTCTCTTGAATCAAACGCTTCAACTCTTTTACGGTGGTTTTGTCAACTTCATCTTGCTGGATCTTCTGCAGTGTTGCAAACTCAGTCCAGAGTTCTCTCCAAACTGCCGGCAACCGCAAGTAGGCCTTGCCCTCCTTGGAATTTTGGGGGAACAAGATGAACAAAGCCAGAGTCGACACGTACCCCTCCGCCTGCTGCGCATTTGGTGTTGCAAGGGCGTCCATTGACACAAAAGTAGCCAAGGCATTCGACTTATGTGTAATCGATTCCACTGCTAGCGGGAATGGAGCTTCCTGGGGCTTCGACCATCGCACCTCGAGAGCTTTTCTGTTCGAATGACTTGAAGAGGAGAAATCTTGGTAGACAATCACGCATGTTGAGTCTTTCGATTTGCAAGTCTCTTCCAAGACTCGCCGTGGGCTCAGGCCTGTCGATTTCCCAAAGTCGCGGAGTGTGATTGAGGTCTGGGTCTGTGGAGCAGGAATACCTAAAATCGAGCCTGAATCCTCAGCTTCGCCTTGGAACAAATCTCCAAGGGCATCCTCCATTCCGTCAATCGCAAGGAGGGCCGGCTCTAGCTCTTCGTTAATCTCGGGCTTTGGCTGATCTTCTGTATCGGTTGAAGACTTTTTTTTCACCGGGCGGCGAGCAAATGAAGCATCCTTTCTGAGCTCGTCAAGCTTTTGCTCCCATATGTACTCTGCTTCTCGGCGTTCGAAAAGCACATCCCGTTCGATCTTAGCAATCTTCCGCTGCACTTTAGACGTTTCAGGGTCATCTGATAAATTGCTAGCACCGACGCGACCCTTCTTTCCTTTTCCGAAGCGATCGAAAAGATCTGGGTCCAAGCTGTAAAGTCGGGTCTGCAGCTCCAACCATTCGGGAACCATGATATCTGGGTCGACGGAGCTATCCGAGTCGTACGAAATAGGAGGAGCAACCTTTGCTGCCTTCCAGTCAGCCTTTTTGTTTCCTGGCTTGCTTCGATTTTGGGATGAAACAGGAGTCGAAGTCCCTGAAGCTTTCGATTCTGTTAAGAGTTAGCATAATGTTCTAATGGAAACCTTGAACCTGGGGGGGTTACCTGTCATCCATGAGGTGACACTATCCGTGTCTTTCAGTTGACGAGTATTTATCTGTGTGTAAGACGGCAACTCATTTTTATCACTGTGCGTAGCCAACCATTCAATTGATTCATCAAGGTTCCACACAACATCCCGACCGGCACTGGTTGAGTTGCCAGCAAAATATTGCAAAACATGCTTCAGTGCGTCCTCGACACGGTTTTCTGGGAAGTTGAGTTTGAGCAGTGTTTCCCTCAAGGTCCAAAGCTTGTTGTATAAGTCGTCCTCAGAGCCAGCCTGTTTTGGACTTGTGATCCGTCCACTGGCTATGAGATAATCATGCTCTTCGGTACCGGCTAGTTCGAGAATACTGTCTTGAATATCTGTCGGTAACCACTCTAGAAGGCTCAATGATACTGATTGCTGTCGGAAAACGCGGCGTTCGTTTTCTAGCTTAGTGGCCTGGCGCGCTGCGTCATTTTTACACTTCGCAGCATATTTATCAACCAGAATCTGAAGCTCTGCTTCTTCAAGATGCTTTTCCAGCTCCTCCGGGGTGTAGTCTTGTAACGAGGAGGTTTTCTGTGGTGCGGCGACATCTGCAATCCGTATGGCATTGCGTTCAGGTTGCAGCTCGATTTCTGGAGTGGCTTTTGATTCTTCGGTGGCTGGAGAAGGTGTTGATGTTGCCTCTGGCTTAGGCTTTGAGGGCATGGAGACCGTTGCGAAGCCTCGAGCCGGGTTGGAGGCGGGCTTCTTCTTTTTCTTGCTGCTCGGCGGCATTATGTCTGAATTATCGGCGGGCCTAGCGGAGATGTCTTCAAAGCACGCTGAAAGTCAGCGGCCAAAGACCAATGGATTTGGCCTGTGTAATACTGTGGACTAAGGTGCACAATATTCCCAAAAAAGGGCGTTGAAATGTGTAAAGAACGAAGAGTCGGCCATGATTGTTTAATGGCGGGATGTGATCCAGCTCCCCACACAAAACTCTTTATGACAGCATTCCTAGCCCACTTCACCAACTTCAACACTCTCTGAACCACCCCCTTCTCTCTCCATTCCCCCGTATTGACCGCCGATCATGGATGGAATTCCATGGGATCAGGTCAAGGCCGGGGATCTGGATGCCTTGCAGGTCGTTCTCCTCTCGAGTTCGACCTCGCGCAGGCTCCGGGCCCTGCAAGAACTCCGCGACAAGAATGGTAGCGTGAAAATTCAAGCCTCATGACAAGCAGATTGACTAACTATTCATTTTATAGGGTCTGAAATATCACCAGAAATCCATCACGATATACTAGACTTGCTCTTCCGTACCTATCCTCTCTATGTCGATCGATCCTCCCGACAGGCTGTCCAACAATGCCTCCGCTCTCTCCTCCGCGGCCCCAATGCGACCGAAGAGTTAAAATTCCTTACGCAAAAATTGCAAATCGAGGCATCTAGACCAGGTTTGGCTTCCTCGTTTGCATTTGTTCTGTTGGAATGGTGCTGTATTTTGTTGCAGCAGGCCAGCGAGGACCAGAACACACCGTTGGCCACTGTGCTAGACCTGATTGCGGTTGATGCCAAGGCCCTGGAGAATTGTCTTTCTCACAATCCTAAGCCTGCGTTAAAGCAGTCAGCTCTTCGAGTGACAAGACGTGCTTTGCGCGCTGTATTTTCGTCTGAGGCATGGGGTGCTGATGCAGTGCGGCAGTCTGTCAGCCGACTGACCACGGACTCTACCGCAGCGTACAGAAATGTGCCTCTTCTCGGTGTCGTATGTGGAGTCTGTGCGCGACTAGCAGACAAGAAGCCAATTCTTGAAGAGTCGAAGAAAGAGATTTTAGCTTTCTACATCAAGGAAGTCGTGAGCTCAAAATCTGTTGTGCCTGCACATGTCGCCAATGGCATGTCTGACTTCTTTACTTCCTTCGTAACATATGAAGATGTTGCCACTGAATTGGTACCTCCCATGGAAAAGTCCATACTACGAGCACCGGAGGTGGTTCTCAACGGCGTGATTCCTCCTCTCTGTGTCGCTCTGCCAGAAGATATTGATATCTCGGAATTGGTGCAAACACGCCTTTCCAAGCATCTTTTAACTAGCATGAAGTCAAATAACCCATCAATCCGCCAAGGGGCATCTGACTCTTTTGCATCCTTGCTCTCTCGATGCAGAACCGGTCCCTTGGTCTTAAAGATCACCAGTGAAATCATTGGTCCTCTGAAAACGCAGAAGATTACTACTCCTGAGCACCGCATGGCTTACGCCCAGGCAATTGGGGCTATTTCGCCTTCGGTGGATGTCTCAAAAGAGGTTGTTCAAGGATTCTGCCCTGTGTTTTCACGGGAGTCGAACGAAGCTGCCCTGGAAGAGGAGATCAAATCCTTTAGCAAACACCTTACTTACCTTGTTCAATCTAAGCTCAAGGTTAGCGATGATGTTATCAGCACTATCGTCAAGGGTGTATCAGATAAGCGAATTCCTTTCCGAAAGATCTGGCAAGCAAGTGTGGGAGAAGTCCTATGGAAGTCTGATCTCGAGGTTTTGAAGACCCCTGAAATTGAACCACTTGTCACCAAGTTCCTCGCTAAAATGAAGGATTTGTTTGGTGAGGTTGCCTCCAACCCGCTTCCCTCGGCCCAAAGCGGTGCTTTGTCTTCCGCTTATCTCTTTCTGGCTCTGTTCCACCGATTGTCCGATATTCAAGAGTCTGCCAGCTCCGCTTGGGAGGAAAACGTAATCCAATCGATGACATTGAGCCCCAAGCCTTCTTTCCTCCTCAACCCGAAGGCATACTCAAAGTTGAGTTCCAAGGAAGAGGTCCAGTGGCTTATCAGGGCTCTGGCTGCTGTGGCCTCCGGGTCTAAGTTTGCTAGCTCTGAAGATGCGTCCAAAACAGCTTGGGCTCAGACCTTTATCTACGCGATCACCGGGCCTGCTATTCCCTCAAATATTCGCGAGAAATCCGCGGAAACATTATCCCGGGTCTATCAGACGGATGTGGCCTCTTTTGGGCGCATCGTCCTAAATGCACTGTGGGCATGGATCTTTTCATTCCGGACCGCAGAGAAGGAATCAGCAGCCGTTTCTGCTGGACCGGAGAGCGAACGCCTGCTTCATATGGTCTTGAAGGCTCTCTGCCCAACCAAGGCTGTCATAGAAGGCTCCGGAATTTCCTCTTCTGATTTGGAAGTCTTGCTCATCGAAATGCTGATTCTAAGTCGGCCTGAGTTGATTCCGAATACCTCCTGGATTGATTTGTGCTTGAGGACCGGCACGGACCCTGGAAATCTCGTGCGCGCACACCCTGATGCTTGCATCGAGCAGTTAGTTCACGTGAACGCAGACCCCGTGCAGTCAGCGGTACCGGGTGTTAACCTCGCTGTCTGGACCGCTGGGGCTGAATTGGCGTTTGTTGCCCCCGATGCAATGATCCCGCGTTTGGTCGATCAAATTAAATATGATCTGGACGGCACCCGCCTATCTAAGTTCACTGCCACTGATGCCGCCATTTCACGCACCCCCGAAGGAACCGCTTTTATCGATGTGCTCAGCAGCAAGTCGAAGCAGCCTGCCTTTGATAAGAACACTAAGGACTATGATACCCTGAAGTGGGAAGAAGAACTTCGTGCGCAATTAGCCGAAAAGAAGGGCCAAAACCAAAAGAAACTCACGCCTGAGGAAAATTCCAAGGTCAAGGCCCAGCTTGCCAAGGAGGCCAAGATTCGTCAAGATGTTTTGGAAGAAGTCAAGCGGATCGAAAGAGGAGCGGGCATTATCCGAGGTCTCGCAACGGGTCCAGCCAACGACGTCGAGGGGTGGATCAACGCTGCCGTCAGTTCTTTGCTGTCGCTTGCGCAGGCTGGTGCGGGTTTATTTGTCGGTGATGTTGTCTCCCGAGCATTCATCACTTGCGCCGATGAGGTGTCCACCCGCCTCGGTCCTCTGCGTTCTTTCGTTGGTATTGCAACTCTGCGGGCCATCGGTAACACCAACCTTCCCTCTGATATGGAATTGGAGCCCCTCGGTGAACTCGTGACCAGAATTCTCTACCGATTACGTTTTGCTTCTGAGCAGCGTCCTTTCGATACCACCTCTCTCGCCTACGTGCTTCCGCTTATCTCTCTGATTTTGTCCCAGAATGGCATCGAAGAAGCGAAGGGAGAAGAAGAAGGCACGCAAGTTCTCCTTGCTCTTGAGTTCCTGTCAGCTCACTCTGGCTCTTGTGAGTTTTACCCCATGCTAAACTAGTATGAAACCCAGTGCTAACGCTGTTATAGTCACCGACACCCGTCTTCCTCGCGTCGAGGTTCTAGCTCAGCTTCTCTCCGCCATGCAGAAATACACCCAGCACTACAAGCTGGTCAAGGATACCTTATTCGACTTCTGCCGATGCATCTCGCCGAATATCAGCAGCGAAGAGCTGGATACGCTCTTGCAAGGAACAATCGTCGCTGATGCCTCTGTCCGAACAACTGTGCTTCAGGTCATTGAGGCCGAGATTGATTTGACTGACCTCGATTTCTCAGAGCACATCTGGCTTGCCTGCCACGACCTGGTGGAGGAGAACGCCGAGATTGCCGACACAATCTGGGAAGACAATGCGCTAGAGGTGGATGACACCTCGTTCAGCAAGATCATGAAATACTTGGACTCCAAGGACTATCAGCTTAGAGGCGCTGCCGCTCGCGCTTTGGCACATGCCATTGAGTTTGATAAGAGCAAATTTGCGGGCATTCTGTCCGAACTGCAATCCAAATACGTGGAAGAAATAAAACCTAAAGCACCCGAAAAGGACGCCTACGGAATGCCCAAGAAAGTAGACAATGCAGACCACTGGGAGGCTCGCAGTGGTATTGCGCTGGCTTTCAATGCCATGACCAATGGATTCGATGGTGACGAGAGTGTCTCATTTTTGCGATTCCTGATTGAGAAGGGTCCCTTGCTAGATGGAAACTCCCGGGTCCGTGGCCAGATGACAGAGAGTGGTAAATCTATTATCATTTTGCGAGGAGAGTCAAAGGTTGAGGAGATGATGAATTTGCTCCAAACAACCCTGGAAACCTCGGATAAAGACACGAAGACTTCTGACCTGCTGAACGAGGCTGTCATCGTCTTATATGGATCTGTGGCCACACATCTCAAGGCGGATGATCCTCGCCTGCAGACAGTTATCAGTGAACTGCTTGTGGCCCTCGATACCCCTTCGGAGTCTGTGCAGCACGCCGTGTCTGAGTGTCTGCCCCCCTTGATCAGATCGTCTGGTTCCAAGACGGCAGAGTATGTGGAAAACCTAATCTACCGGCTCTTCAATGCCCCTGACTATCCTCGCCAACGCGGTGCTGCTTACGGTCTTGCTGCAGTCGTGTGTGGCAGGGGTATCGCAACCTTGCGGGAGTACCGAATCATGACCCAGCTCAAGGAGGCCGCCGAAAACAAAAGAGAAAAGGATCACCGACGAGGCGCTTTGTTAGCTTATGAGCTCTTCGCCCTAGTTCTGGGGCGGACATTTGAGCCTTATGTGATCCATCTCGTACCGCAGCTTCTGGGAGGATTTGGTGATACCAGCATTAGCGTCCGCGATACTTGTTTGGAGGCTTCGAGGGCTTGCTTCCAGAACCTCAGCTCTTACGGTGTTAAGGAGATTCTTCCTACCCTGCTCGACGGCTTGGATGATACGCAATGGCGTAGTCAGAAGGGTGCTTGCGATCTACTTGGAGCCATGGCCTACCTGGACCCACAACAGCTTGCAGCTAGTTTACCTGATATCATTCCCCCTTTGACAATTGTGCTCAATGACACCCACAAGGAAGTCCGTAGCGCAGCGAATCGCAGTCTTCAGCGCTTCGGCGAGGTTATCAGCAACCCCGAAGTAAAGAGCTTGGTTGGCGTGCTTCTGAAGGCTTTGAGCGATCCAACGAAGCACACAGATGAGGCGCTAGATTCCTTGATCAAGGTTTCTTTTGCGCACTACCTCGATGCTCCCTCCCTGGCCCTTGTTGTGCGCATTCTCGAGCGTGGTCTTAGTGACCGATCTAACACTAAGCGAAAGTCAGCACAGATTATTGGTAGCTTGGCCCATCTCACAGAGCGCAAGGATCTTATCTCGCACTTGCCTATCATTGTGGCTGGTCTCAACTTGGCCATTGTCGATCCAGTTCCCACAACCCGTGCTACTGCTTCCAAGGCCCTTGGTTCACTCATCGAGAAACTCGGAGAAGACGCTCTGCCAGATCTCATTCCTAACCTTATGGCTACTCTCAAATCCGATACTGGTGCTGGTGATAGACTCGGGTCTGCTCAAGCTCTTTCGGAGGTCCTTGCAGGCCTCGGTACGACCAGGCTCGAGGAGACATTGCCAACTATTCTCCAAAACGTTTCCAGTGCCAAGCCTGCTGTTCGTGAAGGCTTCATGACTCTCTTCATCTTCTTGCCTGCTTGCTTCGGTAACAGCTTCGCCAACTACCTCAGCAAGATCATCCCCCCTATTCTTGCTGGTCTGGCTGATGATATTGAGGCTATCCGCGAGACCGCTCTCCGGGCTGGTCGTCTGCTTGTCAAGAACTTCGCTCACAAGGCCATCGATCTCTTGCTTCCCGAGCTGGAGCGTGGTCTTGCGGACGACAGCTACCGCATCCGTTTGAGTTCCGTCGAGCTCGTCGGCGATCTGCTCTTCAGTCTTACCGGTATCTCTGGCAAGATTGAGGGTGATGAAGAAGAGGAGGAAGCCACTCAAGCTGGCCAATCCTTGTTAGAGGTTCTCGGAGCCGAGCGCAGAGACAAGGTTCTTTCGGCCCTGTACATCTGTCGCTGTGATACCTCAGGCCAGGTCAAGAGTGCGGCCTTGGGTGTCTGGAAAGCGCTTGTCGCCTCCCCGAGAACGCTCAAGGACATGGTTCCTACCCTGTCTCAGCTCATCATTCGCCGCCTCGGGTCCAGCAACATGGAGCAAAAAGTCATTGCCAGCAACGCTCTTGGAGACCTTATAAAGAAGGCTGGAGAGTCTGTTCTCAACACTTTGCTGCCCTTGCTTCAAGATGGTCTTCAGGCTTCGCCTGATGTGGAGGTCAAACAAGGTATCTGTATCGCTCTCCGCGAGCTTATCAATGCCGCTTCCCCCGATGCACTGGAGGACTTTGAGGATATTCTCATCGCCACCGTACGCGTAGCTCTGGTCGACAACGACGATGATGTGCGAGAAGCTGCTGCTGAGGCCTTCGATTCACTGCAGCAGGTCATGGGCAAACGGGTCGTGGACCAGGTCCTGCCTTACCTTCTTCACTTGTTAAGAAACGACGAGGAGGCTGAGCAGGCGTTGTCGGCACTGTTGACGCTTCTCACGGAGCAGACTCGCGCCAATATTATTCTTCCCAACCTCATCCCCACATTGCTCACGCCGCCAATTACTGCTTTCAACGCCAGGGCCTTAGCATCTCTAGCCGAAGTTGCTGGCTCTGCCATGACAAGGAGACTGCCAGCTATCCTCAACTCCCTTATGGACGGTATCATCGACACTACCGACGAGGAGCTTCGAACAGAACTCAGCGCCGCCTTTGACACCGTCCTAGTGTCTGTAGACGAGTACGATGGCCTGAGTGCCGCCATGAATGTAATGGTCACTCTTGTCAAACACGACGATCACCGTCGACGTGCTGCTGCGGCGCTCCATCTGACCAAGTTCTTCGCGGAAGCCGAGCTCGACTTCTCGAGGTACTACCAGGACTTGATCCGCGCCTTGCTGATTTCGTTCGACGACCCAGACAAGGATGTCGTCAAGTCTGCATGGACTGCCCTCACCGGTCTCATGTCTCACATGCGCAAGGAAGAGATGGAGAGCTTGGCTATTCCCACCCGCCAGATTCTGCGACAGGTGGGTGTGGCTGGCGCGGACTTGCCCGGCTTCAGTCTGCCCAAGGGCATCATGGCTATCTTGCCGATTTTCTTGCAAGGTCTTCTCAACGGTACTACCGATCAGCGTACCCAATCGGCTCTTGCAATGTCGGATATTATTGACCGGACTCGTGCCGAGTCATTGAAGCCTTTCGTGACTCAGATCACCGGCCCGCTCATTCGTGTTGTGTCAGAACGTTCGGTCGATATCAAGTGTAAGTCATGCAAAGCCTTTATGTAGTGTCTGTTTACTGATTCATTTTGCCAGGCGCCATCTTCTACACTCTTAACAAGCTTTTGGAGAAGATCCCGTTGGCTGTCAAACCGTTCTTACCTCAACTCCAGCGTACATTCGCTCGTGGTCTGGCCGACACATCAAGCGAGACTCTGCGCAACCGGGCTGCCAAGGGTCTTGGTATTTTGATTACGCTGACCCCCAGAATTGATCCTCTTATTGCTGGTAAGTCTTAGGAAATTTTTATACATGGGATGTAGCTCATCGCTAACTTTTATCTCTAGAACTTATTGCTGGATCGAAGACCACTGACATTGGTGTGAAGAACGCCATGATGAAGGCTCTCCAGGAGGTGGTTGGTAAGGCCGGTGCAAACATGAGCGAGGCATCTCGGCAAGCGATCCTTGGTCTGATTGACGATGACGCTAGCGACCAGACCGGTATGATCATTATTAACAATTCACCTGTTTCACGGCTTTCTAACCTGCTCACAGATTCCGTTTCCATTACCAACGCTCGCCTGCTCGGTGCTCTCGTGAAGGTCCTCCCTGCCGCAAGCTCGGTTCCTCTCATCAAGTATGCATATTCGTTTTCATGGTTTGATTTTGCTGGATGCTAATATATTTCCTTCACCCTAGGAACCGTATTCTTACTGGCTCCCTTTCTCATGCAGCGATCCTAGGACTCAATGCTCTGTTGGCTGAATGCCCTGGGGTTCTGTCGGAACACTTCTCTGTGGAGCTTCCCACCGTCATCTGCCAAGGTCTTGCAAACAAGGATGTAAGTGGAATGCTATACCACCCAGTATTGCTTGAAGCTAATTCAGAAACAGCCCTTCGTCTCCGACAACAGCGCTCTTGCCGCAGGCAAATACCTCTTGTCCGACGATGGCGACCATGCTTTCGAGTCAAGCAAGGCCATCTTCGAGGCCTTAGCATCTGCCATTCAGGTTGGCAACCCGGTCGACACCCGGCGGTTGAGCTTGGTAGTCATCCGAACTGTCAGCCGTCTTCACCCCGAGCTGGCCCGTCCTCATCTGGCTTTGCTCGCACCGCCCATCTTCGCTAGTGTCCGTGATCTGGTAATCCCCGTCAAACTGGCCGCGGAAGCTGCATTCTTGGCCATATTCTCTGTGGTTGAGTCTGATAGTGAGGTGTTTGACAAGTATATGGCCGGTCCAGGTGCATCTCTCCCACCAGGCCCCAAGCGCAGCATGTCTGATTACTTCAAGCGCATTGCCGTTCGTTTGGCCAACCAGGCGCGTGAGCGTCGGGAGGCTGAAGGTGGTGAGGGTGGCTTGGGACTGTCGAATGATGAACTAGACGATGAAAAGGAATTGTGGAGCATTGGCAAGGTTGACCTTGGAGAGGCCTTTGGCGATGAGTGATGATCTGTTTGCGTATCCAAGGAGCATCTAGATGTTTATAGATATACCCTTGGGTTTTATTTGTTTTAGTCGTACAAAAGTTATGCATAGTAAGTTTTTGTATATTTATATTGTGTCATTATACATCAATGGGCAGCCATTTACTCCGTACAGAGTGGTGGACTTTATTATATTGCAGATCACTCTTTCCTAGATAGGAATATCAAATCAGGTGATACTACTTGTCTTTAGTATCACGTGATATTGTTCGTTTTTTGGCCGTCTACAACGAAAGCCACGGCAAAGAGCGAAAGAGAAAAAAAGAAGAGAACCCCAAATTGTAATCTTGTTATTATCCCAGCATCTTCATTCGAACTTTTCCCAATGTAAGTAAGCTTAGCTTCCCCGGACTGCAAGATCTTCAAGCTCCATCATCCCAATTTGGACTAGCGTTAGGGTATGCACCCTGAAGCACTCCGCCCATTGTGGAAGGAGCACTCGCTTAGCCCTCGGCTGACCTAATCTGGCCCGCAGTGCCCTCTCAAACTCTCACCGTCGGGATTTCTCAGTGCCACGAACATCATCCGCCAACGACCGTCGATACGCCGACATCAAGATGTGAGTTCCATCTCCAAGCTGTTCTTGAACTTCTCGAATGCACTCCCGTGTGCTGTGGAAATTCATGTCCCAACACCCAACTCGTGCACCCGAAATTTTCGTTATAGTGGAGGAACAACTTCGTGATGTGTGTGCTATGATGCTGACCGGGTCTTTCACCACCACAGGGTCAACCTTACCACCCAGAAGCGCCTCGCCGCCTCCGTGGTCGGCTGCGGCAAGCGCAAGATTTGGCTCGACCCCAATGAGATGAACGAGATCTCCAACGCCAACTCTCGCCAGACCATCCGCAAGCTCGTCAGCGATGGCCTGATCATCCGCAAGCCCGTCACCATGCACTCCCGTGCCAGCGCCCGTGAACTCAACGAGGCCCGCCGAAATGGCCGTCACCGCGGTCTGGGTAAGCGCAAGGGTACCAAGGATGCCCGTATGCCCAGGTATGCACACCACCACTACCACCACCGTCTTTGTCTCCTACCTCGGACTCGCCCGACGGCTAGAACCAGGACACAGTTGCTGATGTCGATTTTCTCTGTTTAGCCAAGTCCTCTGGATGCGCCGCATGCGTGTTCTCCGTCGTCTGCTCGTCCGCTACCGCGCCGCCGGCAAGATCGACAAGCACCTCTACCACGAGCTTTACCACCTGAGCAAGGGTAACACCTTCAAGCACAAGCGTGCCCTCGTCGAGCACGTAAGTTACAACCCGAATCAACCCCACGGATGACGATCGAATATGAACATGAACCCCTTGAATTACGCGAAGGAACGGATCCAGGCTGACTCGTTCTCTTTTTCACTGCTACAGATCCAGAAGGCTAAGGCTGAGCGTGCACGCGACCGTGTCCTCAAGGAGGAGATGGATGCTAAGCGTGCCAAGAACAAGGCTCTCCGTGAGCGCCGGTTGGAGCGCAAGGATGCCAAGCGCGATGCTCTGATCAACGAGGAGTAAATCTGATACAAAAATTCAATTGCCCTTCCGTTGTTTGACGCTTTTCTCGCAATTCGGCGGTCCGGAGGTTGGAAACGGTTAACTTCTGGGTTGGATTCGGGATTCTAGGTTGTTCCCGATATCAAACTCAGGTCGGCCTTCGGCGTCTTCCTATTAGTCTAGATTCTGTTACGACTTTCTCTCCTTCCCTTTGTTTTCCCTGATAGCATGGGGTTCGTGGCCTCATTGGATCTTTTCGGAAAATATGGGGTATGGGAAATAGGAAGATGCGATGATGATGTGATACTCAAGCTATTCTTGTTAAAACGTAACGAGAAAGCAAAAGGAAATCTTTTTTTACTTCACCAAAAAAACGAAACAAAAACCGCATGCTCTTTCCTGGTCTATACTACCGCGCTTTTGTGGTATAAACCTGATATGCGGAGAAGCAGATTGTGTCTGTTCCCTCTATAAGCCAGTAGATACCATTCCCTCGATGGTCTTACTCGTATACTCCCTATACTCTCAATCTTGCTGCTCGTGATCAGCTCCTGTAGCTGACCTATCTCAGAGTAGCATGTCTATTTTTCATGCTTCATGCAGACTTTATCTCGATAATTCCATGATCCTTGGCAACTGCAACCTCGTGGATCAAAGACCTCCAATGTAATTTATGGGTCCTGTACCTCCCTTCTAGGGATTTGATCACCTCTATACTTGATAGCTAGCCTACAACATTGACATACGTTTTGTGTGAAGAATAAATAAATCAAAATCTAACCAGTCGAAGTATCATTCCGCCCAAGTATCATTGCCGCTGAATATGTTCATATATATCTGTACCCCACAATCCCATAATCGTCCGAGTATAAAAATATATGATTAGCAGCCAAACATCGGGGCGCAATGAAAGTACAGGATAATATATGAACCATAGGGTAGCCATCGCGTTCAACTAATTCTGAAGTATCCCAATGACATAACTAGACAACTATTTTACTTTGAGCATGGTATCATCCGAACCCTGAGAATGTAGAACGCGACCCATTTCACCAACCGCTAGAAGAAAATCAGGAAATGGAAGCATGGTAGAGATATGTTAATACTATGCCTTGGAAAGAGAAATAAAATTTTGAGTTCTCCTGCCCTCTACATACTAATATAACCCAATGAACTACCCAGACCTACAAGTTCAACACCGAAATCGAGATAAAATATGAATGGACTCGAAGGGAATGCCAGTAAGCAAATAAATACAAAGAATAGAAGAAGAAAACCTACAGACATAGCATTCGTAAGATCTTGCCGTCGTAAACCAAAGCAAAGCCAAAAAAGGCAAGTGTATCAGTGTAAACGTATAATATATGCAGGAAGCCAAACCCAAACCGAAAGAAAATCATGAAGCAAAACAAAAGCCAGCCCGAACTACAACTTGACAGCCCACGTAGTCGGGATCGAAGGAACCGAAGACCGGTGGTGAGCATTGGGCGGAGGCTCAAGATCAAGATCGAAGGGGTCACTGCGCATGCTATCACGCATCATAGACGCATCCAAATATCCATGCGGTACAGCGAGGGAATCCGTGCCCGCACGCTCGCAGTCCCAGTGCCCTTGCTCACCGAGCCCGGCGTCGCGGGAAGAAGTGGAGTAGAGCGAGACCGAGCGAGATGGGGCTGAGATTTCGATGATTGCAGACGGCGGGTTTGTGAAGGCGTCCTGCGCTGTCTCGCCACGCAGGTACATGCTGTCCAGAGATAGGTCTGGATTGGAGGGCTGTTGTTGCAGCGGAATGACTAGGAGTAAGGGTGATCGCGGGCCGATGTTGCTTGGGATCGAGGGGTAGGAGTGGTAGCGGCGGTGGTGGTGGCTGATTGATGAGCTTGTTGAGTCGCCTCGTATTAGTTTCTGTCTGAGTCCTAGCCGCTCTGTTGTTATTCTTCGTCGTCGGTGACGCATATAGAGTGCGCAGGCGAGCAGGGCGAATATCATGATTGCTGATCCTCCGATGATGCTCCCAACTATGGTTCCGATTTTAGAGGATGCGGAACTAAAATTGTCGGCTTGGGATGTTTCTGACGAGTCTGCGACCGTGGCAGTTCCGATGGATGGTGGTATTGAATGTGAGTTTGATGGTGCGGTGCTCGAGCTGGCCAAGGTACTGATGGAACCTGTCGAGCTTACGGAGCTAGTCGCTGTCTCTGACAAGATAGGCAGTGATGATGAAAGAGATATACTCGAGCTAGTTAATGGAACCGGTGGAATCCACACGCTGCTAGGAGCATCGGAATGCCATGAGTGATGGTCGGAGGATTCAGAAGTCGCCGAAACCCCCATCTGGCTTGGTAGAACCGAGGTTGTTGGAATAAGAGTCGAAATTGGGGGCTCCGAGATATCAGGTGCTGTGATGGTGATGTCCTGCTTAATTGTCCACTGCGTAGTCGTTGCCAGAGTCACGGTCACCGGGGTTAGGTCCAATGTTAACGATAGGAAGTCAAGCACACTGGCCGCGGTGCTGGAATCAGTCCCGGATTCAGATATCGTGTAGACCCATGTAGGATGGACAGTTTGCGTTTCAATTGACGTGACTGTCACCAGATTTAAAGGTCCAGAGGATAATCGTGGGGACCACGTCTGTGTGAAGTTGTTGAGCGGTACAGAGGGGATATCAATAGCGGAAGAAGCACTCGACATCTCGCCGAGAGCCCGCAGGGGGCACCGATTGTTAAAAGGCAGGTCTGATGATATTTGCCGAGTCCGTATTCGATGAATGGGACATAGGGGCGACGTGAAAGGATGGATCCCTTTGTATGGGTATTGGACAAAGCACAAAGTGACAAAGCAACCAACAAAGCAGTAGGCTTATCAAGTTGACTCTGATGGTTCATCCAAGCCACCCCTGTTCCTTGCTTTGTTCCTTGAAGTCTTGAGATAGCCACGAACATAATCCCGTCGCAAGGCTGGGATTCCATACAGTTCACGATTCACCTTCGTGGTCCAAAAAGTGTATCATGTCAGATACAAAGAGGTTGAAAGGGTGTATACAGAGACCTTTGTTTTCCCCCGCAGAATCTGTGAGGGGATTTTGCTTTTCATTTGTCTAGAGCTCGGCGCTTTTTGTGATGGGTGGAAGCAACTCCTGTGACAGATGAACGGCGCTTAGCCCTCGGTCCAATAAGACCATCAGGCAATCCACGGGTGGACGATCATCTCCAGAAAATATGGGAATCTCCATAATGTGACACTGGCTAACTTTTCCGTACGCGCACGATCTCGTCATTATTGTTCCTTAGGTAGGATTTGAGCGGGGATGTGTATCATGTATCATAGACGAAACACGGCAGTTTCGGATTTGGCGAGAGTTTTATTGAAATTTGAACTGGTCCATCCTGGTGACTTCTTGAAGTTTCATGTTTTGCCTAGCTCGGCTGTTGGTATCTTGCAGGCCTTTGCAGGTTTTACAGTTGGGAGTATGTCGTCGGCATAGAGGAATCGTAGCAATGCCTCTTTTGGTAGAGTCATGTGACTATATCCAGATATATAAGTAGGAGCAGTCCACATGTATATAATATCCATAAATGATATACGAGAAGAAAAGGAGAAGCAAAAGGGCAGAGATTACAGTACTAGAAAAAAGTACGGAGCAAGTATGTAGGAGAGAGAGCGTGATATCACTTCTACAAGAACATTCCCTCCTCTGTTGACCCGATGAATGCCCTGACGAACTCACTTATGAATATTTCAAGTCACAAGGAAAGGTCAAAGGTCATAAGACATATAGATGGTAGAATTTATACATCATTCTTATGTTAAGTCGGAGAGCGCTGAAGGACAAATGTTCCCGACAAATTCCCCACCAAAAGTTCCGTAGTTCCTTTCATCTTCTTCCATCTCTCTTCTCCCGTCACTTCATAGGGAAGTTGTTTTTTTCTTCGACTTCAACTTCTCTGTTTATTTACCTGCCAACTTATCTCGGTGCTTGTGCCTTTGGTGCCTTTGGTGCCTTTCTGCCTTTCTGCCTTTCCGCCTTCCTGTTCCCTGTTTTGTTCCCATGTGACCTTGGGGACTAGAACTTTGCGATAATCGTGCATTTGCATTTGCATTAGAGCTGTGATTGAAGAATGTTTGGCTGGGGTTCTGGGCTGGGTAAGCAATCTCCCTTTTGCTACCCCTCGATGTTTCCCCCCCCCCCCCCCGCGCCATACCCCCCTGTGGCAAGGCGAAATGTCAACACAAGTTCACCTGGACAGCCTTGTTGGATTGGAGCCCTGACTGTGGCTTAAAGTTCTATGCGACCTTAGATCTGTCAGCCAGACTTGAACGAGAGATGAACCACACAGTCTCAAGCTAACACAACTTCGCGATAGCCTTGCCCTCCGCCACTTCAGAGCCGGAGAAGGAACGCAGACCCCCCGCTGACCCGACACCTCTCGATTTCCCCGTCTATAACCTATCCAATGTCCTCGGAAATGAGTCGGAATCAAGACTCAAGGAGATGCCCGACCTTTTGGCCGACATCAAACGCCCACAGGACATCTGCGTGGAGCGCTTCGAGCCGTTGAACCTACAATTGGAAACCGGCGTCGAAGTCGCCCATATGATCCCCGAAGACCATTCGCATCCTCTCGCCCCCTTGCCATGGGAAGATACCACCGAACCGACGGAAGACAATCACCCACCGTTGATGGGTAACGGAGCCCCGTATCCCTCGAAGGAACGATACGAAGTCCTGGAAAAAGAGCTAGCGTTGGATAATGACGACGCTTTCCGCGAGGTGGCTCGATTGCCGCCGCGTGAGGGTCGCGACAGGGTTCGTATAACACAGTCGAGGAAGTTTTGGACGGGATTGGAGCGCATGGCTCAATACTGGGATACCAGCCTAGACCATTACTACGAGCGCCCGGCAACCCCCGATCCGACACCCCCATCTGAGATGGAGCAAGCAGGGGATAGCACAATGCAGATGGATGCTGAGGAGTCCAGTAGCAGACATACTCTGACAGACCATGAAATGGACCTGGATGAAGGACAGACGGTCGCGCCTTCGACCAGCGGCAATGTTGGCGATAAGCAGCGGCCCTCTGTCCCTGTATACACGGGTCGCCGAATTGGCAACGGGGCCGAGATGCCCGATGAAATTCGTGACGAGACAATCCGAGCCTTTGTGGAGATGGCCGCATGGCCATTCGGATGCCAGGTCACAGTCCCCACGCTCCAACCACGGTTGACTACCAAGAACCTCCTGTTCCCCGTCCGGCAAACATTCCAGTCCTCGCGGTCCCCGCGAGACCGCCAGATCGCGCGGAGCGGCATGCTCGAAGGCCCCGTTCTCATCTCACAGTGTCGACCCGAGACATCTTTCCGCACTGCAGACAAGACCCCCGGGACCGGGATTGGCGATGTAAGTGACTTATTCCGCGAAGTAGGCGGCATGCTTCTCGCGGCGCAAGAGCGTGCCCGCGAAGGTGCAGTCGAGAAGCGACCCGGCGACGGCAAATGGTGGACCATGCAGCCTCGCTTCGGAGGCGCCCCCAACGATGGGATCCTGGATGATCTCGTTAACCACGGACACGGGATGTCCTTGCCGGACTCAATGATGGAAGAAAGCACGTCATCTGCCCAGGAGGCAGAGAGCGCTTCCAAACGTCACAAGTTCGAGCATCCATTTGTCACGTCTCTCTCCCGGAGACCGAGTGCTATGCGCAGACTTACTACCAGTGAGAAGTGGAAGATACTGCAGCCTGGACCTAGTCTTTGGGACAAGCGGATGAGTTATTTGCAGATAGGCAAGGTCCAGGAGAGTCCGTTTGACGATGTATGCATACCCGGCCTTGTTCATTGAAATTGAGTGTACTTTTTACGGCCAGACAAAGCTAACCCTTCATTCTTTTTTTGCAGATTTACATGATCTCATCTATCAACCATCACGTCTCAATCCTCCACCTCCGCGTTCACAGGCGGTATTTGGACATCTTCACCCACGGGGACAGCACCTTCCCACCAACCGAAGGCGAGCCGTGGCATGTGCTAAAGCTGCAGAGGACTCGATGGTTCGACCTATTCGATGCCAATGACCGCATAGAAGCGCTGAAGGGTGTGTGGCAACTATTCCACCACCAGCTGAGACAGACACGCCGCGAAGGCGACGTCCCAATACCGATAGAATTACCTTTAGAGTGTCCATTATAGAGCATGCATGATGCTGTCCGTGGGGACATGCTTTTGACTCTCCGGCTCTCAGTGGCCTTTCTCAAGCGATGCATCTTGTACATATGGCGCAGCAATGTTCGGTTTCTTCCCGCTTGCTGCCAACCTTCACTCCGTTTTTTACACCATACCCATCTTCAATGAATTGACAATTTACAATCTTGAGCATATTGATATCTGGCGGGCAATTTATACCAATTCATAAGTGATATCTCTTTTCGGCTGGAGGGTGGTTAGATGGGTGATTTGGGATTTGTGTTCTGCTTTGATATGCTTCTATGGATACATTTTTGATATCTCTGTTTTATTTGTGGACAACTTGGTTTGATATAATGCGTATGGCGAGACCTTGACCCGAAATTCCATCGAACTGTTCTTAGTCAGGAGAATCCAATTCAATCACAACCATCTATCTATACATAACTTCGGAGTGTATAAATCAAGTACTTTCTCACCCATTCAACAAATCTCTTGCACTGTGTTGTCGTAACCATCCATTTTCACTGCCATAAAATCCAGTTCATAGGTAATCCACATCCCAACATTTGAACCCTCGGTACTTTTGTCATAGTGAGACCACTCCAATCCTATACGAAATCACCAACCCTCACAACATCATCTTCTAATGAAACCAAACCAACGTGCCGGACATATTCGGCGTCAAGACTCAAAACCCATGACCTCACACAATAATCCCGATCATCAAATCTCGCCACACACCAAAAATGAAACAAGTGAAAAAGCGAGAGCGTTCCAGACCGGCCAAAAGCCGACCAAAATGTGATATGTCCACATGATAGTCCCTCTTAACCCTGCTTCGGTTGTGTATGGCGTAGATGGTAGGAGAGTGGAGCATAACTAAGTGGGCGCCGAGACCCTTTTTGGTGATATTTCCCGATCTTTTTTTCTAACTTCGTATACATACTCCGTACTATACAGGTTTACTTCCAATGGCACACGTTTCCGGGGCTGCAGAGTCCGGGCTTGACAGACCCGACATTCCCTCCCGTAAGTTTCTCGGTTACGGGGTTCGCTTACGGACCGGGATAAGGCAGTGTATACGGAGTACCATATATGCCCTCCGTACTCCATTCCCTGTCTGTGAGCTGGCTAGTGGGATCTGGTTGCGGTGAGAGTCGTGTGTGGCAATAGATCTTCATTTGGCTTTTGTTTCAGGGTCTGATAGGCCTTGGTGTGGTGAAATAGGAGCTGGTTGGATGCCTTGGAAAGAGGAAACATAACAGAAGAAGCAAGAATATGCAGGTGGATTTATCTGTTGATGGGGTTGATTTGATGCTTGTTTCCGTGTATATTGTGTGTTTTGGGCACAAGTATATACATATGTACCGGATAATACCTGGCACTCGAGACCTTTCCCTTTCCGTTTTAGTGCTCACCTCTCGCCGCTTTTTTATCGCTGAGTAAAACTGAGCACGTCCCTGAGTACCCTGACTTGATCACGGGCCATTATATAATCAACGTGATCTGCTCACTGAGCATCACCTGATCATCCCCTAGTTAAGTAACTAGTTAGTTAGCCCATAGATGTGACAAATAATGCAATCTCCTGCACAATCACGCGATTCATCCCAAAGCGCTTACTCCAGCCGGCGATGATCTTCACCAATGTCCGGTCGGGGGCGGGGCCGTTCACGGACGAAGAGGAGCTCCACGATTATCTCTTAAGCCCTGCCTCTGAACACGGCTTCAATTCGACTACAGAATACATTCAGGCTTTGGCGCAAGCAAATGAAATCCGCAAATACTCTCACCGGATTACTTTCACCCATGGTGACTACAAGGCCCATAATATTCTCGTCGGAGATGATGGTCATCTATCGGGTTTTCTTGATTGGGAGTCTGCTGGCTGGTATCCTGAATACTGGGATTTCACTACTGCAATGAGATATGGAAAGAGCAGCTGGTGGTCTCAGGTAGCATTGTGGATTGGACCAGTACGATGGGGAGTTAGCGTGATATTGCGCTCAACTCACTGACGGTTGACTCATACATAGCGTTCTGAGGCAAGCAGTTAATCTACGGAGTGGTTTTGTTTCCTTTGTTGTAATCTTCGGACCGCGAACAGTACCATTCGAATCCTTAAATTAATTATAGCGTAAACTTGAGAATCCCGCATAGTCGATCAGCATAGAATTGAACGCCTTCTTGAGTCCCCTCTTACACCACCGACACTGCAGGGCAGTGGACTAATATTTTGCTCAAGTAAAGGACCGTGCAGCCTCAGTCCACCAATCGCACATGGTGGGAACGCCCCTCAAGTTTATCTTTCGGCCACATCAGAAAAGATGTGATTGTGTGAGGAGCCGTAATTCGATCTGCTCTTCGACCGACGTAACGGCCGGCCTAGATTGTGGGCCAGGCGCTAAGAATGCACTGGCCCTGCGCCACTCATTCTCCGTCACTGGGGGTCATCTGCTTCATGGGACTACTTGATGGCGGGGTCGCTAACATGCACACTCTGGGGCCTAGTCATTGATGACCACACGGATTGGATTATGAGAAGGCTCTATGCTTATTTGCCGTTTGATATTGATATGGCTTTAAGCCCTTCTGGCCTGGGATGGTTTGTAGTTATTGTTGGGACGATCTTATATAGCTTTCGTTGCCATGATGACTACATGGATGGATCTAATATAAACAATCTAAAAGGCAAGGTTATATGAACTAACCAACAGAGAACCCAACCAAACATGCACTAATAATGACAGAAATCAACGATATATCTGCCTGCAGAACACATATCCAGCGCAACTACCTAATGCTCATCTACTATTTCTTGCCCTCCTTGGAGGTCGACTGATTATACGCAGACGTCGAACCAGACTTCCCAGTCGCGAGGCCCTCCGGCGGGATGACCGGTGCGCCAGGCATCGGGGGAAGCTTCACAGGCTTGAATGTCGCCTCCTTGGAGAACTTGACATATCCGTTGAGATAGGCATGCGCGGATGTAACCCGTTTACCGTCCTTATCCAGAAGAACCACGGATCCATGGTATGGGTCGTCGCGGTTGGGCGTGGGGTGAGGGTTTCCGCTATTCACGTTAGCTGAACTCGTACTTCAATCCAAGGGGGATATACAAGTGTCTTACATTACCTGCGCGCTGACAACGCGAGCCCTCAACCCGGGGACTTCATCGATGGAGCGCTCGATTTGCTGGATCAACCAGCTGACGTCGATGGTTGTTCCGTGGAGGGTCCAGTTGAGCTGCTTCAACTGTCTGGCGGTGCTTGAGAATGCTCGCAAGGCCATGATTGTCGACTTTCGTAGATGTAGATATAGGTAATGCGGGAAGAGGATGATTTGTTTGTGAGAGTTGTCTTGGAATATTAATCCGACGAGTTTGTGTTGATACTGATGAGCTGTGGTATACACCTCTCTTATATACCCTCATCAGGAGCGAAATCGACTAGTGCGTAATTCACCATGGCTGTCTTCCGTCGTGGATGATTACACAGGGCACTTCCGAATCCATTGGCAGAGAAGCTACGAAACGGCATAGGGCGTATCGCGCTCCCGCAACAACTTTGGAACTAAGGGATAGGTGCTTCTGATTACGGCTGTTCTTGCGTATCTACTAACACCCCCTTGACCTACTACATCGGTTGCATTGCCGCCTTCCCCGCCCATCTATCTCCGTGGTTTTCAGGTTTCAGCCGTCCGGTAAAACTCGAAAACGATAGGATATAATTCGCGCTCTATATGGCTATACTCGAGGCTCAGCTAGAGGCTGAAACAGTTTGCGTTGCAAGCAGGCGCTTACTCCTTAGTGCTAGATGAGTTTCCACCACGGCGCCAAAGTCGGGGCAGTGCCTGATTGATCACCGGTATCCACCAGTAGTACTACAAGGAATCATTGATCACCTACGTGCCGTTGGGCTGTACAGAAGCAGGATATACCTTCTTGAGTGTCGCCAATATGTGAAGCGTGACCGGAGCCATTCCGACATGCTATTATTGTTCGGCGTCAAAGTCGTACGAGGATGAGGCAGGTATCCCGACTGGATTATTGTGAAATTTGTCAGCTTCAACCATCTCTCACAAAGGCCTTGCCCTCTCTACGCAGTATAGTCGTGGCCTTTGGCGAGGTATGGTTGTCTACCTCGCTGGCTTGATCGGAGGCATCCGATGATCTCATTGGCTGGCAGCTTGCTTCCCACTAGTCTGTATCAGGAATAGTCACCTCTGAGTACCGTGCCACGTGACCAAGTTTACCAGCTGTGCTGGGCTCCTTGATCTCCTTCTTCTTCGATAACTATTGATATCACATTCTCCCGTCGGCTTACGGGAGTAACTCTGGAATGAACACTATAAGGCCGTCCATTCCTCGTTTGTCCGCCTTGCTTCGCAAGAAACCGTTTCCCATGCCTTCTCCGGGGCCACCTTTACCGCCCGGCATACTCGTTGATGAAGAGATCTCGCCGGTGTACGATTCCAAGTACTTCTATGCAGCGAAGCCTGGAGAGGTACTCGCTGGTCGTTACCAAATCCTGGTTAAGGTTGGCTGGGGCGTGTCTTCAACAGTATGGCTCGCGCGTGATTTGCAAGGGTAGCCTTCAATAATTTCTGTTCAATTCGAAGCTCTCTCTGTCTCTAACAAACATATAGGCATATCGAAAAGCCAGAGAGCGTCGTGGCACTAAAAATCGCCAATAACAATGCGGGTTCCGCTGGTTATGAGCGCGGGGTTGAAGAGCACATTTCCACCGCAGACCCGTCACACCGCGGCCGCTCACTTATCCGAACATCTTTAGACTCTTTTGAGGTTAAAGGTCCAGAAGGTTCTTATTCGTGTCTTGTGTATCCGCCTATGAGGGAGCCATTGTCCATGTATCAGCGGCGCTTCGACGATAGAAAGATGCCACTGCCCCTCATTAAAACATACATTCGTGCTCTTCTTACGGGGCTTGATTATCTTCATAAAGAATGCAGGATAGTTTATACGGGTAAGTTAATCCTTGGCCTTACGTCCCGTCGGTGATACTAAGCCCGGGCGGCGGCCTAGATCTAAAGCTTGAAAACATCATGGTCTCATTCGAGGATCCAACCGTGCTTGCTGATTTCATGAATTCTGAGCTCGAAAAACCGATGGCTTTCAAGATTGATCCGACGGGACGACCAGTGTATCAGTCCCGTAATGACTTCGGGCCACTTAAAAGCCTTAGAAGTATACCACAGCTTGTCGACTTTGGCTTGGCAACCAGACTCGAGGAAGACGACGACTGGGGCATCTGGCCTATTCAGCCAGACCACTATCGGGCGCCAGAGGTGATATTGGGTAATGGATGGCGAATGCCTACGGATATTTGGAATCTTGGTGTTCTAGTACGTCCCGCTTTTCTCTAAAGTTGTTATATACACTAATGCCGGACCAGTTGTGGGATATGATCGAAGGAAAAGAACTATTTCGGCATATCCATGATCAACAAGGTCGCTACGATGCTAAACTACACCTCGCCGAAATGATAGCTTTACTCGGTCCACCCCCTCCAGAGGTCATACAAAGGTATCAATATATGCGAGAGTACTCGTGGCCGGAACCTGTCAGACGAGAAGACGACAGAGTATGCGAGACCGCGGAGGAGTACTTCTGCGGGCCATTCTTTGACAGTAATGGTATCACTAGGTTTCCTATCTTGAATGAATTATTCTCAGACTCACGAAATATCTTAGGTCGCTTTCTTTACGAAGACCTGATCCCCGACCGGAAACTATACGATACAGTTTCCTTCCTTGAAGGAGAGGAGAGGGAAGCGTTTCTGGATCTCGCCAAGGGAATGCTTGTCTGGCATCCAGATGCGAGAAAAGCGGCAGGCGAACTGGCGGGGCATCCTTTTCTTCAACAAAACAGATAAGCGCCTGATTTCTACGAGCGTTTGCTAGCGGAATGACTCAAAATCGTGGTTGATCCCAGTTCGGCGGTTCCATTAAATGGTCAGTTGAAGCGTTAACGTAGTTGTCTTTTTGAATAACATCTAATAGAGTCAGTTGATCTGTTTTTGATCGGAAAGTAATAGCATTATGCCTTAAATGGGATCGAAGACATCGAATTAAATCGAATAAATCAAATTCCCAAGGTACCCCCAAAGGAGTATCACACCCGTTGAACATTCGCGCGAGTAACAGAGGAACAGGGTGAATAAATCAATTAAATTAATGGATTGAAGTCCAAACCCCTCCATAGCAGGCAGCCTCCTAGTTGAACACCATCTCCATCAGTAAAAGAATGGTGTTTATTTTTTATTAAATATGATTGGCCAGATATAGTTTAACTCACTCGAGCCAAAGGTTCATAGTTTCTTGGTGTAATTTGTTGGTCTTAGGGAGCCTTTTGTCTTTCTCCCGAATTGAGTCCTCCTCTCTATAGGCTCTAGGAGCATAACCATTTCTTTCCCGCGTAGACAGCGCCTCTCCTTCGCGATTTCATCGCGCTTAGCAAAAAAGTCTTTTCTACCTATAATCAAGTGTGGTGCGACCTGGAGGTAGGGGATGTATTCAAAGTAAAAGAATGCAATATTAGATCGATGTATAAAGTAAAAGGCGCCTGAATAGAAGACGTGTTGATTATTATATGCTAATGCTGGCATACGGTCTGCTTTTATATCTGAGACTTTGAGCTCGAGCCGCTCTGAATTAGAAGACAGAAGGAAGTAATATCACGAAACGGATGGAGTTCTCCGCTCCTTCCTACACCCCTTCGTCATGACGTATTTTCTTGATAAGATATAGTCGTTTATACTATGATAGTTAGTTCGCTAATAGCATTGCTGCTGCCCTCAATTTTTGGAGTACCCTGTAGGGGCTAATCCCTTCTAGGTATAGTCTGCGGTGGGCTGAGTGCATTAGTGTTACTCACTGATTAGAGTAATCATAGACCATCCAATGAGCACTCACTGAGCATCAGTCATTCTGCACGTGACTTAACTGAGCATGATCACTGATCTGAGTCCGTGCTGACATCTACTCAGTGAGCCTGAGCCTGAGCACCCTCATAAAAGCGGCGGCAAATCAAATAGGAAAGCCCCACCCGCCAGGGAAAATCCGGTACGTATAGTTACATATGTAGTTATACATCAACGGATTTCGGGATGGGTCATGGTGATGATATGTATAGACCATTCCATGTAAATATTTACTTACAACATACTCCGTACATGAAATTATAAAAAGTCCAAGCCACAACATCCAAGGCTAAATTATTCGGTACACACTTCGTATTCTATATAAATCCCATCATCCAATAAAACCAAGTCGTATTCCATACCTAATTGGCCTCTCCCAATCAAACCCAGAGAACCCCCAAAACCCGGGTATCAACAACCGCCAGCTGCAAATCAGATCACATCACACGTTCAAAACAAAAATCCCAACCCAAATCTAACTAGTGCTGGGAGCATATGACCCGCTTAGCAGATCCATAACCCCCTAAGAACAGCAGAGACATGGGAACCTCGGCACGGAAGACCGCCTAATGTGGACTAGCAAAAGTATGGCGCGTACCCGCTTTACTGCAAAAGCCATGTGGAGGCTGTGGAGAGTGAAGATTGAAGAGATTCGTGTTCCCGAGGACCAAGAGAATGAATCGCGGTAGGGTGTATGAGTTATGTACTTTTAAACAAGAGCCAACACTTGGACAGAATGTGGCTAAAAGGCTAATAGTAGGAGCACGGAATACAAGAGAGCCTTGAACTCAGTTGACTATAATGGTAGTATAAGGTGATCAAAATGAAATATAATATACGAGTAACCCAACAATCTAGTTGTTTGGTCTGATGGATTGAAATGTATGCGAGTCGCTTCATCGAGGACGCGTTGGTGGGGGTGTATGTGTAGGCAAGTACCCCTGGAGGTTGACAACCTCAACTTCAACCCCAGACTACTGCCTAATAGAGAAATACATATGCAGGAGCATGACTTGTGTGTGTGAATGGTATGCATAAAGTGGGTGTGATTCCAAAATGTCGGATCCGACTACTCCATACAGCCGGTAGGATAGTTACGTTTGAAATATTTGTCCTTCACGGCAAGGTACACAGCCGCGCTAAGAGGCTGTCGACGGCCCGGCGGACGGTTTACTTTGCTGTAGTACGAGGTACGGAATATACAGAGTACGGAGTATAGGGTGGGAGGCCGCTAGTAGCCAATAACTTCTGACACTGGCCGGCCGGTTCGAAATCGGACTCTCCTCTCCTTCCAAAAGGGAATTGATAGTAGCTCACGAGACCACGATATTGGTTGGAATCTTGACTTTCGTGACTTTTGCCTGGTGGTGGGCTAGAGCCTCTGCAAGAGCACCGATCGGGATCAGGGCGCCGGTCTTGTTCTTCAGTTTTTTGTTTCCAGTTTCCCTTGCATCTGCCGAACGGACCATTGGTTCATGTGAGTTCGGTCTGGTATTTAAGCCTCAGGTGTTTGTGTTGAATTGCTGCTCAAGGGATGACGCAGCGTAAGGAGGGTTGTTTTTCATATGCATCTGGCCTGATCTAGCCCTAAACTTGATGACCTTGCGGAAGGCGGTAGCTTTGCGCGAGGTGGCGGGCTGGTATAGACAAGTGAATTGCGACGGGATATGACAAGTAGGGGGAAAAGGTCCTCCAGACTCAAAGGCCCAGCGATAGGTCAGGCCAAGTAGATCCCACTATGACCACATGGAACCGAACCCACGTGGGAGAGCATCCAGCCGGACTTCAGTGGCTAAGAAGGCAAGTCAGAAGCGATCTTGACGTATCAGTTGCACAGACCACTGTAGAAACAGGGCGCTCAAAGTTGAGACGAGATCTCACGCACGGTGAAAGTCTGTGTTGTACAATCTGTACACATCACATTTCCCTTTTGTGGAGCGTGGAGGTATGAAACCGAACCGTGTCGTGCATGCGGGGATGGGCGGAGAACGAATAACACTAGATTCCAGATTGATTGGTAGTTCCAAATCAACCTTTTGAGATGAGCTCTGGCATATTTACGAATCTGTGTTTGCTATGCAGTGGAGCGGGAGAGCCCCGATCGTGAAGAATCATGTCGTGTCCCGTGAAATTCTGGATTCCATTTCGATAATGTCAGCTAAGAGGCCCACGAAGCAAGTCTAGGCTGCCCGCATAACTGATCATCTAATGTACAGTGGTAATATGTCTAGCTAACTAGTTGACTAACTATGGAATGGAGGTGATCACATTTTAGCTGAGGCGGGCGGCACAACCAATCTATGGACGAATCACGCGTTTACATCGCCGATGAGGCCTAATGATTTGAGATTTTAATGGACATTGAGATATCGTATTGCCAATTCACCTATCAGTATTGTGAAGTTTTCGGCCTTTCAGCATTATGTACGATATATACCCGGATTTCGAGAATCCCAGAATATACTCTGTGGACTAGTAAGAACCCACGCTCTGCATTATCGTGCGATATGTTTCTGGAGACAAGACATGGAGGTTGGTGGGCTGGGGTTGCGGTTGCAATTTGGTTTTGAACTTTGTCATTGGCGCGTGTCAACACTCCCTTTCTAGGCTATACTTGTCCCTCACTAGCCTTACGATAAAAGTTACAGGCAACTACGTCAATATGATATATTGTTGATGTTGTTGTAACACAGCATGTCTATGCATCTTGTTCCATCCCTATCTAGATACTGGAGGTGTAAGCTGCAGCCCATTACTGCCTACATATGCCAATTGCACATCAGAGTCTCAGTCTAATGCGAGGAACTCAACCTATTCCGCGACCATGCAACCTTCCGTGTTGCCTCCCCTCGATCGATGTGAGGATGTTTGTCAAGGGAGAAGATCGCCTGCATCTTCCCCATACGGAGCTATTCCAATGCGAAGGTGATCCTCCGTGCTGATTGGATGTGATTTAGGTCTGCTCCATACTTGTTCAGATTCTGAGGCTTTTTCGGACGCAGATCTCCACGCAGTACGGAGTACTCCGTACTTTCAACTGTATTTCTAGGTATAGCTTACTTCTGAGTGCTGAATGTGTAGGTGGGTAGTAGTGTCATCAAATCTCGAGCCTGGCGTTGCGGTGCGAGCTCAGGGATTGAGGCTCTAAGATACTTCATAGTAGCATTGAAAGCCAGGCTAGGACATAGGTGTGCCATTGAGAGACTGTACTTTTTTCGTTTCCAGATAGTGATTCATGTCATGTTGTGGTTACCCCTTGCGTTCGACATTGGATATCTAATGACTTTGCAAACTCTATTCCAGATATCTACATACTGCAATATGCATGGCGTGCAGTCACCATCTGCACGATGTAGGCCCGTGTTATTTTGGAGGCTAGATCTGTTTTTTCAATGTGTTATTTCCGGAGAGGAATTGGGACTCGAGTAATATCAAATAGCTGCCTGATATATTTTCTTTCATTCCTCCTTCCCTATTAGGTAGGGAAATAGCCCGTGCCGATTCTTATGATACCCACTAAAATCAAGACTTTGGGCAGCGACGCGTAGCCACAGATAACGGAGACCCGAAGATCTAAACCAATGCGCCGTTCCGAACCTACGGAATATAATAGTGGAAAGGATAATGGAAGCGGCAGATCGACAGGGCGAGTCAAAACTGGAACGCAGATTGGATACTTTCTATGTTTGTCAACTTGGATGCTGCTCGTGATTGAAATCCATGTAACCCCGATACCCCTTAACGGTGGCAAGAACTTGTGATTCAGCTGTCAACCAGTGGGATGTCTTGGAATTCGCAACGGACCGATAAAAGATCATTGCGAGAATGGACTTTGCTTCTAAGGTTAGGTTCGGATTGTTTCTCATTCCGACTTTTCAACTCAGATTCCGTTCATGCAGGTCAAATCCCGTGGACTCCCATGTTAAAGCATACTTGATATGGAAGAATTACTT